GAATTAAGCTTACTGCATATGAAAATGTTTATTTTGTATTTGCTTTGCTATGGTTACTTGGACCATGACATGTATTTGGAATATTTTTTTTTTATCATAGACTCCTATTACCTTGTATTTTTTTTGTTGTTGTTGTTGTTTTGTTTTAAAGATAGGGTTTCACTATTTAGTCCTACGTGGCCTGGAACTTGCTGTGTAGAGTAGGCTGGCTTCAAGCATAGAGGATCCACCTGCTTCTACCTTTCCAAGTGCTGGGGTTAAAGGTGTATGCCACTACATCAATTTAACTTAGGTTTTTCTTGGGGGAGGGATGGGCAAAGTAATATGTTGGTGATAGGTCAGAGTGTATCTCAGAGGTAGAGGGCTTGTCCCTGTGCACAGGAGTTTGATTTCCTAGCACCACTGGGGATGAGGGTTGGTGATAGAACTGGGTGTGGTAATGCTAGGCTGAGACAGGAGGATTGGCAGTTTGAGGTCAGCCTAGACTATGTACATAGCAAGATCATGTCTCCCTGAAAGGAAATTGATAGAAGTTGGTAGTAGACTTTTGTATAGGTTCATAGTGACTATCTAAAAGAGTTTCTAATAGCATTTCCTCTGTAACTAATACTCTTTACTGTTCAGGGTTTTTTTTGTTTTTTTTTTTGTTTTTTTGTTTTGTTTTTCTTTTTTCTAAAAAGTAGGAGTCTGGTACTTATGAAATTTTTATTTATTTAACTTTTTTGCATTTTAGGGGCAATATTATTAAGTGTTTTATTATGTCTTACTATCAGGAGTCAGTACTCCATCTCTATCTAGGAGACAACAGACAAAAAATTTTGAAGTTCTGTGTAGTGATGTTTTATTGAGAAAAGATGCTCCAACTCCTCCTGCTGCTCTTATTCTTTATTCTCATTCAGAAGTGAACAGAATCGCGCCACATTGTTTATTCTCTCCATCCTTTTTATGACAATAAATGTTTATCTCCATAAAGGGGAATATGTATGTTGGCATTCCTGTTCCATTTTGCTTTCCTTGAGAGATTAAAAGCAGTAGTAAGTGATCCTGCCCTCCTCTTGGCCTCCTTCTCAAGCTTGTAGCTGTTTCTTACCTTTCCCTTTTATACAAGTGATTGGGCATTGGCCATGACATGGGCATGCATGTTTGTTGTCAGGGTTTTTTGCTGTGCCAACAACTGTCACACCTGCTCTTGGAGCTCTGGCCCTTACTTCAGTGTAGGTGGCAAGTCTGTCTGGACATAGAAATGGAAGCCCTTGTTTCTGGTTTCTGGCTGGGTTCTGCTGTTGGGATGATTGGATTTCTGCAGCATGGTTGAATCCTTTGACGCTCACAGCTCCCATAGGCTGTCTGGTTTTTTGAGGTTTCATTGAATGTTCTATTGCAGTGGCTGGTGGAGTGTTGCTGTTACTCAGCCTGGAATGCTGTGTTAACTCAGTGGTTTTCAACCCTTTCACAGGTTGCCTAAGACCATCAGAAAACACAGATATTTGCATTACAGTTCCTAACAGTAGCACAATTATAGTTATGAAGTAGAAATGAAATAATTTTATGGTTGGGGGTCACCACAACCTGAGGAACTATGTTAGAGTTTCAGCATTAGGAAGGTTGAGGACCACTGCTGTAACTTGAGGTTTCCTTACAGCCAGACTCTGCTTTGCACTAGTCTCTTGGCTAACTTCCAATTATCCACATTGAGTGTCCATTTGGCAACAAACTGACCGATAAAGTATACTTTATAAATCCTTTACATTCTGTTATTAGTGATCATGATGGTAATTCTAAAATGAGTTAGCACTAGAGTAAAGAAAAAATAACGCAAAGCTTTATGAATTTATTGGTTGGCTAGTGTCAGTTAATTTTTTCTTTGATTTTATTTTTAATTCTTCCTTAGGCTCAACTTATAGAAGCATCAAAAGGGTTGAGAAGTATTTCATGAGGCACATACTTAGTGAGTCTAACATATGGAAGTTTGTAATGAGCTTTTGCTCTAAAATTATAAAGCACTTTGTGAGTTGAGCAGAGGTTGATTATTCAAGACCACTTAGATTCTGCCTGCAGCAGGATTAAAGGTGGACCTAATTTCCTGCATTCCTGATAAGACTTTCCCTTATTAGCCTGTGCTTGTCTAATCACTGTAGATTTCTCAGAAATATCACAACCAATACTAATATACTAATGCTACATTAGTACAGTATTAGTATAGTATTATAATAATATAATATACACTCCAGTGTGTTAACTCATGGACCATGCCCACTATCCCTAGCAAGTAAATCCCATTATTATTTGCATTTTACATAAGAAGACCTATCAGACAGCTAACCAGAGTTGACTAAGCTAGTCCAGGCTCTCAAGCACCACAGCCACGTTACGCTATAATTAGGATGATTATCCACTTCTTTTCCACAAAGAGATCATCAGAACTAATCCCATTATGTGTTGAGTCCTCACAAATAGTGGCTTCTAGGGGTCATTATTCTTCTTCAGTACTATTTCTAGCCCCACACCCCGTGTTCCTGATGTTAATAGAAGTTATTACTTCGTGTGCCTTTTTGTCACACAAGATTTGTTCACTTTAGACTTCAACTCCTTACACCTTTCTTGCTGTTACTGAACTCCCTACCAGTGTCCACATGGATCACATAGCCCTTGAGTTCTCCACTTTGTCTCCAGTGGTCCTACATCCCATTTCCCATTTTCCATCAGTAACTCTGTCACCTCCTGGATTTAGAATTGAAGTATTTTACTGTGTGGCCTCCACTGATCCTTTCTCTATTCCCAGTTCTTTTACTATGAAGCTTAACTGCAGTAGTCAGCTACCAGAACCTCCATTCTGCTAAACACTTTTTGCTTTCATCTTTTTCTTGGCCTAGCTTAGAGTCCGTCTCATTACACCCCCCACCCTTTTGTCTGTTATACTAGCTAAAATCAACATTGTGTTTATACCGTTCTTAAACGCATTCTTTCCCTCATGCTACCACCAGTACACAGTACTACCTGCAGTTTTAATTGGCTCTCTCTGTTCCTTCTCTTCCCTAAGGGGGGAAAAATCTTTTTTTTTCCAGTTTAATTTTATTAAAACCGAACAGAAAAGAGACTGCTATTTGCTGTTTTAATAGGATAATGGGGAGAAAGACCCAGCTTTTCAGGGACCAGAATGTGAGAGTAGATCAGCAGGAGGCAAAGAGGGCAGTTTTTTGGTGTGTTGGAAAAGCTTAGTGACAGGTTTACTGACTAAACTTGTTTCCTTATTGGTAGAAAGAGTACTACATAGAAGTATGTGACATCAGCTCTCAGTTGCACAAAAGAATGGAGGTCTTTTTAGAAATTAGTATTTGTTTATGTGTATATATGCCGCCTGCCTACCAAGACATGCCTACATGTGGAGGCCAGAGGACAACTTTTGGGAGTCATTTCTCTCCTTCCATGGTGGGTTTCAGGGATTGACTTCAGTGGACCATAGGCATTTTTACCTGTGGGCAGTATTGCTGGCCCTCTTTTATGTTTGCTTTCATTTCTCTCCACCAGCATAATTGTCTTGAAGTTTGTTTCTTTTATTTGCTGTATAGTGCTGGGATTAAAGGTGTGCACCACCCCACCCCCACCACCCCACCCCCCGCCCCAAATGATTTTTGCAAGTTGTTTATCCTTTAGCTCTTGGGCCACCTTTTATACACGGTTGTATTCTTTCCAGTTTGGGCTTATCAGTAAAGCTATTGTGAACAGCTCTGTATAATGCTACGAATAGACATGTACTTCCTTATTTTTTGAGCAAATACCTCCAAAAATGACCTGGTCTTAGGGTAGGTATATATTTAGTATTTAAGAAACTGCCCAACTGACTTCTGTAAGTGTTGCACCATTTTATATTCTGGAGAGTTTCAGTTGCTCCATATTTAGCATCACTAAGTATAGTAAGTAAGTTACTCTTACTTCATAAAGTATGGACTATGTATCTGTATCCTGTGAGTGTTTCCGCCATCCGTCTCAGTGGCAAATGGTATTATACTACTTATGTGCAATGTGAACGTCTTTGGTGAAGTGACTGTTTAGAGCACCCCACCCCCACTCCCACACCTCTGTTGTGTGCTTTGTGGTTTTATTTTTTAATTAAAAGAAAATTTTTTTTTTGAAACAGGGTATCTATGTATCCTTGACTGTCGTGGAACTCGCTTTATAGACAAGGGGCCTCAAACTCTAGAGATCCTCCTGCCCCTGCCTCCCAAGTGCTGAGATTAAAGGCACGTGCCATTGTCGCATGGCCCTGTGGTTTTATTCTTAACAGTTGTATTCTTGGAGTTTCTTATCTATTCTGGATTCAAGGGCTTTCAAAGTTCTTCATTACTTGTTTTTTGTCTTTTTTCCTAAGTTGTTTTGAAAAGAGTTTTATGTTTTTATAAAACCTACTTTATTATCTTTCTCCTTTATAGTTCTTTTTTACGTCTTCATTGAGTTCTGAATCATTTCATTTCTCTTCAAAAGAGTACATGTCTCGGACTCTCATCTGGTTTAGAAAAGCACAGACTCCAATTATAAGGCTAGAATTGTTCCTGCTTGTATTTATATTACTATGATACTCTATTAACAGACTGTTCACGACTCTGATATTTATGTGTTCTTTTTGGTTGGTTTTTAGCTTGCTAAAGGACCCCTAAAATTGCTGTTGATGAACTTACTGTTTTATGGGTAAAGGAACTGAGGTTCCCACAGATTGAGTGCTGTGGTTTACAGTTCACGATCATGTGGAAACCAAGAGCCCCAGTGCTCTCTAATCTCAATTCACTTCTTGTTTCCTTGGGGGGTTCTCTTTATGAGCTGTTGTTGAAATTAATGTCCTGCAGCATATGCAAATAAGTTTAGTTCCTGAATTTAGGATTGCAGTGAATATCTTCATGGGAAGCAGTATTGTTAATAGCTTTCTAAAAGAATCAGAATTTTCCCTTGAAATTTATTAAATGAAGATATTGAATTTAACACTTTTTTCTTACTTCTTTCCAAAGGTCTGTAAACAGATTTGGCTAGGATTATTTGATGATAGATCTTCAGCAATTCCAGACTTCAGGGATCCACAAAAAGTGAAGGAGTTCCTACAGGAAAAATATGAAAAGAAAAGATGGTGAGTAGATGTTGAAAGTCTCCCAAACCACAGTTGTGGGCCAGGTTTGATTGACACAGTTAAGGTAGACAGGCAGAACAGAAGGAATTGAATGATGGTTGGCAGGTACAGCCTCATTACCTTTTGACTTTTCATTAGACTTGGTTTCCAGAAACCTTGGCTTGTACTTTGTCTTCGTGCATCTATGTCCAGCAGTAAACAGCCTTTCCTCACCATGTGAAGACTCCTGCCAAGGAAAGCCAGTGATCTCTCTGAATTTTCGGCTAAATTCCTTAGATGTTTTAGTCCTGTAATGCTTCTTTCCTTTCAATTTTTATTCCTTTAGTAAGTATTCATCGAGTAGTATCTTCCAGGCACTGTGTTAAAGCTCTTGTGGAGTAGTAATCTGTCCACTTAATTGTGTCCTGCTGGAAATCTTTGCTCTGTCTTTTTCCCCCACTCTCTCTATACTCTACTAAAGCCAGTATGTCCGTTCAGCAGAACATGGGTTGTAACTGTAGAGCTAGTATTCAGTATTTGGGGCTCCTCAGCTTTAGTTTTATGAAATAACTGAGTACAGTACTGACTAATTAACTATGATCTCTGTTTATAGCAGTTAGTATTGAACAGTACATATTCCTTCTTAGGGGATTAAGAAGGTGAGAGAGTTGAGGATAGAGGGAATGGATAATTGGGAAGCAAATGGCCTCTTGTTTCCCAGAGGAACAGTATTCTGACCTAAGGAGTGATTGGTTGGAGGGAGTTTACTCTGGGTTATGGGGAAGATACCCTTGATCAGGAAGCACATTTGCTCCAAGTTACACATTCTGTACAATCTGTATTCTTAACATTGCTTAAATAAGCCATTTCTTATGTTTAGATTAACTAGGATTCTCTTCATATGCACTAGGTATGAATAGGTAAAAATATACCAGTAGGATTTTAGTTCAAGAAAGAAGAAAATATTAGAAGGTCCCCAGGGTGATAATTAAATATGGTACACAGTGATTTTTTTTTTTTTTTTTTTTTAAGTTTTCAAGACAGGGTTTCTCTGTGTAACAGCCATGGCTGTCCTGGAACTCGCTTTATAGATCAGGCTGGCCTTGAACTCACAGAGGTCTGACTGCCTTTGCCTCCCAAGTGCTGGGATCAAAGGCATATACCACCACATACTATGCCCGGCTAAAAAATATGTTTGTTTATTTAAATTTTATTTATCTATTCTCCCGCCTGTCCCCCCTGTTTTTTTTGTTTTAAGACAAGGTTTCTCCATGTATCCCTAGCTGTCCTGGAACTAGCTCTATAGACTAGACTGGCCTTGAACTCACAGAGATTAAATGACTTTTTATTTTTAAACCATCATCCTTTTATCATTCTTGTTCTTAAGTTTCTACGTCTCCCAGTCTGTAGATAAAACGGTTTTCCTTATATTGTTGCCCAGCATAGCTGTTTCAGAAAGTCAGTTTGCTGTTAGAAGTTAGCTGGCTAGGATTTTAGTGAGGTTAGCTCTAGCTGCAAAGAGAAGCAGGAATGTGAGAAAGAAGGAATGTGAATGATACTGGTATAGTTAAAGTCCTCAGTTCCTCTCCCTCATTTGTAACAGGAGGTTTCTCCTTCAAACCACAGCCTAAAAACCTGAAAATCTCAAGTAATAGTTTGTGTTAATTGTTTCCTCTTTCCTAAGAAACACTAGTCATAAGTTAAGACTATTACAGATAGAAGCTTTCTAAAAGTGATGGATTGGGCTGGGTGGTGGGAGTGCATGCCTTTGATCTCAGCACTCAGGAGGCAGAGACAGGTGGGTCTCTGAGTTTGAGGCCAGCCTGGTCTACAGAGTGAGTTCAGGACAGCCAGGGCTGATAAACAAAATAAAATAAAAGAAAAGTGATGGATGGAGCTGTGTTGGCCATCACTCTCAAGAGCCAGAACGTGCATATCCACCTGCCTCGTGCCACCTCTAACGTGATTAGAGATCAGTGAAATGGTTTTGCACGGGGTCTGAGCAGCAGCCGCTGAAAACAGCCTAAGAACGTTTGTTGTAGGAAGCAGTGCAGCAGGGTGATGTTGTATGAAGTTTTGAGGTGGTTCTTTTCACTTAGATACCTTCTTTCTTTAAGTGGGGCAAATCATTTTAGCCATAAATTATCATTTGTCTTATCTTGTGATCAGAGTTGGCCATACCCAAGAATTCATGCTGTCAGTGCAATGCCAGGTTACTGGAGAACACAAGAGCTAGTTTCAGTCTCAGATCTCATCATGTCCTGTATTTACCTGGTAGGGTTAGTTTAATTGTTTGCGACTGTTACATGGTTGTATCATAGCTAATACACTGGCAGCTAATTCTAATCACACTACAAACTTGAATTTGTTTAAACCCCACAGCAACTTTATAGGTGAAAAAATGGAATTGAAGTTCATTTGCCCAAAGTTTTATAGCTATTGAGTGGTGGAACTGGGGTTTGACCTCTGTCTCTTGGATAAATGTTTTTAGCTACCTTAGAGTTTTATTTCCTTGTATCTACTTGATATGATAAATGAGGAGGAGCATAGGAATACACCTAAAATTATAGAGACCAAAAGTTGCCATGAATTCCTTTCCCTAGAGATGAGCATTGCAGGCATTTGGGCATTATATTCCTGCTTTCTTTTTTTCCGTCCCTCATTCCCTCCCCCAGGTCCTATTTATGTGACACGGAATAGACCTGAAAGACTTGTGAGTCATGTGGGCATCTATACCTGCCAAAGAAGGGGAGTAGCTATGCAGAATTATATACATTTTAGCATAATGTATATAAATATTTTTCTATTTACAGATATTTGTTAGCTTTGTTTCCCAGTTTTTTTTAAAATTAAGATTGCAAGAGTAATGTACTGTGTATATATAGTTATCTAATTACTTGCTGAGGATAGATTTTTAGGAGTAATAATGTGAAGTATAGAACATGCCTGTATATGTATTTTCATTAGATAGCAACTAAAAATTCATAGTTCATATAGATCAGAGGTGAATAATGCATTAATGTACATTTTTATTTGGTTTCAGTTTTCATATTTTTATGACTTGCTTCTTTTGTCCATTTTAAAGTGAACTTTTTATTTTTATATTTTTGGTTGTGAGCCTAGCCTTTAACGGCTGAGCCATCTCTCCAGCCCGAACTTTTTATTTTTAATGATTTATGCTTTAGGGCCATTAATTATAAGTCTTTCCTCCCAATTTCATTTATCTCCAGATATTTATAATCTTAAGTATTTCTTACTTTAAAATTTACAATGTTAGCTGTTCATTGTCATGATTAACTGTAGATCTTCTATCTTCAAAGCAACAGTTGCTATAGTGTATTGTCTATAAAAATTGTCTTAAAAAAATGCCATGAGTAAACTGATACTTATTTTTCTTAGAGTAGTTTCAGGTAATTAATGGTCTTAAGCCGTCAATTCTAAGTGCTACCTTTTTAAGTAAGATTAATATTGTAAGAGTGTTACATAAATTTAAATTTAATACTTTAAATATGGATTCTTCCGATTTTTCTTAGCAGCCTGTCCTGATTTTCACATTACAGGTATGTTCCACCAGAGCAAGCCAAAGTGGTGGCATCTGTTCACGCATCTATTTCCGGGTCTTCTGCCAGCAGCACAAGCAGCACCCCTGAGGTCAAGCCCCTGAAATCTCTGCTGGGAGATGCTGCACCAGCACTGCACTTAAATAAGGGCACACCTAGTCAGGTGAGGGGTTGGTAACTCTTAAAGATGGACGGAAGGCGGAGTGCTGAGCACCTCTAACAGTATATCTGTGCCATTTGTAAAGTGCATAAGATTGTTTGATAACGTGGTGGGAATGTGTGGTTTTGTTGGTTTGGCCATCACTTTGTAAAGATGCTCATTTTATCTATCTTGAGTGTCTATGTCTGGTGACCAGCAGAGTCAGGAACAATAGCCTCTGTGGTGCTGTAGCAGAAAATAGTAGGATTTCTATATACCTGATTATGTAGCATGCTTATTACCATTGAAATGCACATGGCTTTGCGGTATACCTTACTCCCCAAACTGAACAGACTGAAACCATTTATATGTTGATATCTAAATACTCATTTTGTTGTAGATGATGTTATGACTGTTACTGTGCAACATTGTTACACTATACTATACTATATGTGAATGGCTTTGAAGCAGAGCACAGCAGATTAAATCCTGCCCTTTGACAGTGTGTTCTAGGCTTCTCAATAAATCCTGTTTTCACAAGTTAAAGTGGAAACAATGAAGAACGGAGTGAAGTCAGGATACTAAATCTCTTCTGTGTAGAAATGCCCTTTTAGTATCATGAATTGGAGATAGGTAGCTGTATGTAAAGCTTCAGTAGATCTACTGAAAAGTCTTTTATAGTTAATGCATAAGTGTGTATTTTAGAAACACCATGAGTAAGTAATGTGCTTGTAGTCCCCAGTTGTAGGTCGCTCTCAAGGGCAGCAGCAGGAGAAGAAGCAGTTTGACCTTTTGAGTGATCTTGGCTCAGACATCTTTGCTGCTCCGGCTCCTCAGTCAACCGCTACAGCCAATTTTGCTAATTTTGCACATTTTAACAGTCATGCAGGTATGTCTTTTCCTGATAGCTTTGCCAGGATATGTGTAAATCACCCAGAAACATATTGATTGTTTATTATAAAGTATCAGTAAGCATAGTCCACTGAGGAATTTTGGTCACCCATGAACATTGTACCATATGACATAAAACCATGGTACTTTAGGGGGACTTTTTTGACAGGGTCATATGTAGCCCAAGCTGGCTTTGAACTTGCTCTGTGCTAAGGATGGTTGTGAACTACTTATCATCCCACTCCACCACTCAACCATGGCTTTTTTTGAGACAGGGTTTCTCTGTGTAGCCTTAGCTGTCCGGGAACTCATTCTGTGGACCAGGCTGGCCTCAGAAAGAAATTTAATCCCAGATGCTGGGATTAAAGGTGTGGGCCACCACCGCCTGATCATCCATGAAAAAGTACCAAAGTATTACAAAAGAGATGATACCTATTTACATTTTTTTAGTGTGAGTGTGTGTGTGTGTGTGTGTGTGTGTGTGTGAGAGAGAGAGAGAGAGAGAGAGAGAGAGAGAAACAGAGAGAGAGAGAGAAACAGAGAGAGAATGTGTGTGTACACACTGCATGGTGAGTGTGTGGAGGTCAGAGGACAACTTGTAGGAGTTAGTGCTCTCTCCTTTTTCATCATGTGGATCCTGGGGATGAAACTCAGGTCTGCAGGCTTGGTGGCAGGTGCCTTTACCTACGGAGCCATGCCAACAGCAGCATGGCTTGAGAGAAGATCTTAATGTGTATGTAGATATTACCTTTTTTATGGAAAATTACAAATGACCAAAGGCAAATGTGTAATGTAACTTAGGGATTAACCTCATGTCACTAGTACTGTTTAATTGATTTCGAAGTGAATTTTAGACATAAATATTTTGTGTCTGTGCCCTTCCTCCCAATGTGTGTTTTATATGTTTACGCATATCTACACGTACCCTCTGGGTCAGTATTAGTTGTCTTCTTCAGTCTCTCTCCACTTATTTTTAACACAGGCTCTCTCACTGAACTTGAAGGTAACCTATTGGCTAGACTAGCTGACCAGCGAGCTCCAGGAACTTGGCCCCCTAGGAATCTTACTGCTCCCGAGTACTGAGGTTACAGACACATTGCTGAACCCAGCTGTTTATATTTGCAGAGGGATCTGAATTCAGGCTCTCAAGTTTTCGTAGTAGCAACTTTGCTGAATGAGAGCCATTGTCCAGACCCTAGAATTTTCATTGTTAAATATCACAGTAAGTAGTAGAATCATTCCAAATAATGGTAAAAGTTCATCAGTCAGTATTCAGATTTTCATTCTAGTTCAAATTTGTGTTGGTATATATAGTATGTACTATATATATGTATAAACACATACACTTACTCTCATGCACAGTGTGTATGTGGTTTGTTGGAATCAGGTTGGTTGTTTTTTAATGTATCCTTTGTAATTGAAATCTATTTTGGTTAGATTTCTATAGGTTGTTCCTTCATCCCTTTATCTTTGTGATTTGTTAGAGAAAGTAGGTTATTTGCCTTATGGATTCTGTGGTAGTTTGAACTTATTAATTGCCCTCCTTTAAAAGTACCTTTAACAGCCGGGCGGTGGTGGTACACGCCTTTAATCCCAGCACTCGGGAGGCAGAGCCAGGCGGATCGCTGTGAGTTCGAGGCCAGCCTGGGCTACCAAGTGAGCTCCAGGAAAGGCGAAAAGCTACGCAGAGAAACCCTGTCTCGAAAAACCAAAAAAAAAAAAAAAAAAAAAAAAAGTACCTTTTTTTCTTTCTGTATTGCTTGTAAGTTAGTGGTTGGATCTGGAGATTACATCAGTTGAAGATGTGTCTGTTTCTTATCAGGGTTGGAGACTGCTGGGTAAATTAGAGGTTTTTATGTGTATGTTGGGAGTGTGGCTAGGTTTCCTTTTCCCAGTGTTAACCTATCTAGCAAGATCTCCCAAATAAGGAGAATCTTTCCCCTTCCCTTTTAGGCAACCTGTGTAGCAAAATGCCTCTTTGACCAAACAAGGGACCAAGGCCTTGCTTCCTACCTCATAACCTCGTGTGTGTGTGTGTGTGTGTGTGTGTGTGTGTGTGTGTGTGTGTGTGTGTGTGTGTGTGAGTGATTTACTTTTAGTCTATGTGTATGGGTATTTTGCCTACATGTATGTTTGTGTACCATGTGTATAGTACCTGCAGAGGCCTGAAGAGTGTGTTGAACCCCCTAGAACAGGAGTTACAGACAATTGTGAACCACTGTGTGGGTGCTGGAATCTGAACCTAGGTCTTTGCAGGAGCAACAAATGTTAACTATTGAGCCATCTTTCCAGCCCCTATGAGTTTATTATGGTTTCATCTCCTTTTTCAAAATGCTTTTTAATGATCTTATTTATATATTTAAAGTTTAGAGAACTCTAGAATTTTGATCTTAGGTTTGTGTTATAATTGCAATTATCTTTTATTGTTTCTTAAACTTTAATGTGTTTTAAATAGCTCCTAAAATGTAAATATCTTTAGCTTTTTAGTGATTGTGTCCATACACATTTCCCATGTTAGTAAACCAGAAAGCTGGACGTGATAGTCCACACCTATAATCCCAACACTGTGGAAACTGAGGCAGGAGATCATGAGGGACAGGCCAGCCTAATCTACATAGTAAAGACCCTATTTCTCAAAACTAAAAACAAAAGTGTTTTATTAATGTGATTAAACCATCTCTATATCATTATTTTAGGTACTTAAATTATTTTTCAGATTCATTATCATTTTAAAATGAGTTACTGGGCTGGGAAGATGGCTGAGTAAAATGTTTGTTGTGTAAGCATAATGACCTTAACTTAGATTCTCAGCACACACACAAAAGCTGGATACAGAAGTGTTCATCTGTAACCCCAGCATTTGAGGCAAAGACTCGAGGTTCCTGTGCCTCAGTATCCAGCAGTGGAAACAGTGAGCCTAGGCTCTGTGAGAAACCCTGCCTCAAAAGAACAAAGGTGGGGAGTGACTGGAAAGACACCTGAAGTCAGCCTTTGTCCTCTGTTCATGTATACACAAAGAAATACAACCAAAAATCAAAATGGATTTCCTAGACTGTGTCCACAGTTTTGTTTACCAAAACGAATGTACTTAATGTTCTGAATTAGCTTTCTTTTGTTACTAGAGCCTTTAAAATAATACTGTGACTAAGTCCATTCAAAGAGTATTGTGAACAGACAGACCTATGACTTTACAAAGCACTTTTAGAAATTTCTGGATACCGTTTAGTATATACTTCTAACTGGGTTAAAAAGAAGTGATTTTTAAATGAATTCTCTTTAAAGTGAGTTATAAATTGCATTGGCATTTTCATAAAATTCTTAAATTCATTTGTCATGTCTTCTCAGTTGTAGTTTTCATATTCATTAACATATGTTGTCCTTGCCATTACAGCTCAGAATTCTGCAAATGCAGATTTTGCAAACTTTGATGCATTTGGACAGTCTAGTGGTTCGAGTAATTTTGGAGGTTTCCCCACAGCAAGTCACTCTCCTTTTCAGCCCCAAACTACAGGTAGAGCCTCTCCAGCATTGTGCTTAAATGTTTGCTTTAAAAAACAAAACTTTCCAAATGTAGTTTTGAAAAACTAAATTCTCTAGTGACCTAATTTTAAAGTAGTTGTATTTCACAAAGCTCTGGGGAAACCTGAACTCCTTGTTTCTCTGAACTCTTTGGTCATTGTCTGCTGTCCAGAACTCATCCTCCTCTTCCTGCACAGGGTTCTGCCTTGAAATTTCCAGCCACTGAGGTTGTAAAGCAACAAGTTTTTAAGTACGTTTGAAACACAGTGATTAAAGCTGATGTTGTATCTTGCGATAAGGAAGCTAGTTGATAGCTTCAATGGAAATAAAAATAAGTTATTTTATGGGGCAGCAAGCTTGAGAAAAACATTTTAATGTTATTTAGTCAAGTATAAATTGTTAATGATCACTTTATTCAAGTATGGAAATGATTTTGTGCAGGAATTGGTTTTCAAGAAAATTCTTGCATAAAGTGTACTGTTTTCAGAAATTCATTGAACCCTTATTTAGCTTTTTCGCTAACTATTTTTCTTTCAACTTTGAACTCTGTGTGTGTTGTCTTAAAGCCTGTTCTTTCCATTTTCTCTCGCCGCCTCCTTTAACTCTGATCATTTACACATTTCTGGCTGTCCAGCATTCACAGTACTTTCATCTAGCTGCAGTTTTGGTGAATTTACTTCAGCTTTTCCTCTCCAGGCTACCCACAGTAAGTTCTGTTGTCCAGTAGGCATCTCGTATTAATTTATATGCTTTCTGTGTTATTTCATGTTTTTTCAGTTATAGAACATCATCATTCTTAATAAACCTTCATAAATTCGTTTTACTCTCTCTTCTCTTATTAAACTCAGAGTTAAAGATACAGTTTTTAATGAAAGTTAGTTGATCTAATAATTTGAAATTTTTTCATAAAAATCTTAAAAATTTTGTATTTATTTTGTTTGCTAGCTAGCCATAATAGATCATTGTCTTTTAACATATTTATCTATGTTAGTTTTAGCTGATTTTTCTTTAAAACCTAATTTTTAAAACGGAGACTTGCTGTGCTGACCAGGTTGATGTTGAACTGGCAATCCTCCTGCCTCAGCCTCCTGAGTAAGTCACATTATAGGCATGTGTCACTATGCCTAGTTTTCTTTGAAACAGCCAGAGTTTAATTCTTGAGAAAGATCAGTTCGTATTTGGTTTGGAAATGTCAGAGAATTGATTGATGGTAGGTCTTTTGCATAGGTAATGATCCGTTCTACTTAAAAAAATGTGTTTGACCTTTGTTGTCCCCTTAGTGTGCATGACACTGTTTTGACAGTTTAGGAAAAAGGAACTAATATCTCTGTAGGATTCAAAGCATAGAGTGGAAGGCACTGGCGGAAGTCTCTGAGTGCTCAGAAGGATCTCTGTGGTTGAGAATATGCTTTACAGATTTAGCAGGCAGTCTGCTAGTGACTGTTATTAGGTGGGTGGTGCTTTATGACACCAAAAATGACTGTCGTGCACTTCAGTTTGTATTCTTTGAACTACATGGTAGGGCTTAGTTTTCCTGTGAGCGTCAGGCTGTTGAATACACATTGAACTGCTGTGTAGAGTCAAGTAGTGGCTCTTCAAGTGAAAATGTCAAGGATTTTAAAAACTATTACCAGCATATTCTTAAACATTACTCAGAGTCTGTTGAAGAACTGTAAGGTGATGGTACTATCTCCATAGCTAGAAGGAATGTAATTCCAGCGCTTCCACAACAGCTCTCCACCTCCACAAATAAGGCCTTAGAAAACCGAGTTTCATAATTCATAAAAGTCACATGGTTATAAGAGTGTCCTTATAGGACACCTCCCTTAGGCAGAAATGATCACAAATAATTTACCAGTGAGATTGAGAGAAGCCTAGAAATTTCATGTTTTGTTTATTCTGTTACAGGTGGAAGTGCTGGATCAGTAAATGCTAATTTTGCTCATTTTGATAACTTCCCCAAATCCTCCAGTGCTGATTTTGGAACCTTCAGTACATCCCAGAGTCATCAGACAGCATCAACTGTTAGTAAAGTTTCAACAAACAAAGCTGCTTTACAGACAGCAGACAAATATGCGGCACTTGCTAATTTAGACAATATCTTCAGTGCTGGGCAAGGTATCAATGTGTAAACAAAACAGATACTAATTGTCTAAATTACATACGTTCAAATCTGAAGAGACAATGCTTTTCTCACTTGTATAGAAGTTATATGCACATTCAATGTTTTGAGTAAAGGATTGCTGGCATTTTTGCACGTAAAATATCAACTATAAAACTGAAGACATAGAAATTATATATATATATATACATAAATATATATAATATAAACAATGATTTTCAAAAGAAAGTAATTGAAAATAATTGTATTTTTGTCTTTAAAAACATGCTTTCCTATTCTGTGGCTACAAAGAGTCAAATGTTTTATTTACAGAGCTGACTATAGTACTATTTTGTAATTTCTATTATATATGCATTTTGAACTATTTTTAGTAACATTTTGCCCCCTCCCCCCTTTTTTTTTCTTTGAGACAAGCTTTCTCTATGTAACCCTGGCTGTCATGGAACTTACTCTGTAGGCCAGGCTGGCCTTGAACTTACAGAGATCTGCCCATTATTTTTCTAACATTTTTTCTAGTAAGTTTTGGCCTTAAGATCAGTATTTCCCCTTTAACAGTATATAGCTGAATGGAGAACAGTGGGGATTTGTCCTACACTGGATTCTGCATCTTGATCTCTAACATTGTTTTTCTCATTTCTAAACTGAGAGAGATCATAGAATTGAAATCTTGGACTATATTTTGTGAATTATTGCATGGAAGGCATTTAGAGCAGTGCCTAGCTTAAGAAGCACTTAGTAAATGTTTACTGTTATAATTATCTCTGATTTTTTTTTCATAGAAAACTCTGGAAAAATGGTACTATTAATACATTAGATGCATCGTTTAAATTTATGTGTTTATTTGAACGAAACCATCTGTCTTAGAGTTCTTTAAATCCTGTCCATTTAATGTTTAGATCAAGTCAATTTTAGGTTTACCTGTGTTCATGGCAAATACGCTTGATTAACTGACACTACAATATTAAAGTTTTGGTGTAACTTTTTTGTTTGTTTGCCTTCAGGAGGTGATCAAGGGAGTGGTTTTGGGACCACGGGTAAAGCTCCTGTTGGTTCTGTGGTTTCAGTTCCCAGTCACTCAAGTGCATCTTCGGACAAGTACGCAGCGCTGGCAGAGTTAGACAGCGTGTTCAGTTCTGCAGCCACCTCCAGTAACGCGTACACGTCCACCAGTAATGCCAGCAGGTACACACCTCTGTTTCCATGTCTGAATGACATAGTTTAAAGGGACTTTTGTCGCATTGTAACTTAAACATAATTGAAGAGTTTCTAAGTTAAAATAGATCTAAAGTTGAAATTAAACGTAATTTGCTGTTTAAAATGTAGTTCTTGAGTGTTTGTCATATTCTTTTATTTAGAAATCTTAACTCCTTTTCACTCCTGGGTGCTAAACATACTTCAAAGAACACAAATTTCTAAATGGACAATTGCATATGGCTTGTACTAAGCAGATAATTGATTTAGCAGTCAAGTTGCATATGTCAGGGCACAGTGTTTAGTCTGTTTGCCCCGAACCCCCCCACTGCCCCTGTCAGTTCTCTGGCTCATCATTGTCATTTAGTATTGTAAACCGCACATGCACTACTGTGCTCACACGGACCTTGTGGAAAGGTTTTCCAGAGAACAGGAAGACTACATGTTTAAAATACCAGCCTTGTGGTAAATAAGGTCTGGTGTAGTCCAGGTTGGTTGTGAGTTCATGGTCCTCTGTCTCTGTCTCCAGGGTGCTTACAGGCATGTGCCTCCAAACCTAGAAGAGCATTAGACTTTTAATAACCCTTTTACATTTATGGAAAGTATAAGCATTCTAGTTATTTCTTTTGTTCCATTTCTATAGATAGAGCTGCTTTATTACTATTATTATTTAGTTTATTTCCTTTTGCCACCTTTTCTAGAGGGAAAGTCTAATTACTTGAAATGGGACAAATTGAATCCAGTAATAAAATTTGGCATTATTTTGGTTTGCTTCACTAATACTGTAGTCTGTGTTATATTTTAATAATACTAACAAGGTAGCCATAAGGCCTGGAAATATAGATGAAATCCATGTGATGAATGGATTATTGATATTGCATTGTGATACATTAATAGTTTACAAGTGTGATCTGTGGAATGTTTGAGTTACTTTAGACTCTTTACAGGATCTGTAAATTCAGACCTTTTTCATAATTCTGAGATGCTAATTTGATTTTTCAGTGATTGACATTTGATGGTACACAAAATACAATGAGGCAGGAAAGCCTTGCTGCAGAAATTAAGGTAGTCTCCTCAGATCAGAGCAGAACAGACATTGGATTTTTGCACACAACACACTGTTTTATTTCTGATTTAAAAAAAAAAAGTTTGCTTATGTTGCCTGGACTAGTGTTGAACTCAAGATTCTTACGCATCTTCTCAAATAGCATGTGACACCATTTCTCTCTTTACCTTACAAATAGTGTTGATTAGTTTTTCTAACGAATATTCTTGGTAAAATGATAACATTTTCAACTTTAGTTTTCCATTAAATGTACTTTCTGTATATTAAGTTAGTTATGTATCATATTTGGATGCAGAGTAAAACATATGTTTGTCTTGAAAAGAAATTTACTGTTGTTAAGTTTTGGGACAAGCCAGCTACTCATACTATGGTGGTTTGAATTTCAGTATTTGTTGGATATTTCTACAGAGTGTGATCGCTGTAAAGACTACCCCTTATGCTGAGGGCATTGCTCAAGTGTTCTTGCACAGCATGCAGGAAGCTCTGGATTTGATTCCCAGCACAGGGGTGCACACCTTTATGACCAGTACCTGGAAGTAGAGGCAGGGAAGTTCATGGTCACCCTGCAGAACAGATTCCAGACCGGCTTTCGCTGTATGGAATCTTGTCTCAAAAAAGAAACAAAACTTGTTGAAATGCAATGTTAGAAGTTTGGGAAATTTGCATTCTACCATAAACTGGAAAGTGAAGATGTAGTGAACTTTGACCTTGTGGGGTGGAAAAAGTTCATTAATAGCTTTTACATTCCCCATTTGAGGCAGCCTTTAGGAAACTGCCAGTTTTGGTGTCATATCAAAGAAAATGAAATACTCTTACCTGTTGTTAAGTATGCATATAAGTAAGGTACATGTTCATCCTACATGTCAAACAAATGGTAATATATACATGGATTAGTAGAAATGTACAATAAAAGTTAAGTTCCTTTTGCCTTGAAAATAGTTATTAAAAATACTTAATGCTGTTGTGTAATGGAAGCCAATCTTAGATGCATATTTTTTAAATTCTCAATTTCTATATACTTCTGATTGACAGAGATGGCATATGTAAATAATTTGTTACTGGAATTTCAGTAAATTTTCCTTATGTAAACTCATCTTGAGTTACCATTGAGAACTGCAGTGGTGTGTAGAAAGGTTAATTTTTATGTGCTTCAGAATCTTGTGGCCAGCTTGTAGGTAGATGACCTTGTTTCTTTATTAAATGCTGACTCTTGATATTCTCTTCAGCAGTGTATTTGGAACAGTGCCTGTGGGTGCTTCTGCTCAGACTCAGCCTGCTTCAACTGGGCCCGCTCCATTTGGGGGTATGTACTTTTCATAGAGAATGAATGTTCTTTTTAGGGGTGCTGGAAGATAGTAAGAAAGAAACATTATCAAAAGGTACACATTTTTCTCTTCAAAAATAGTGAAGAAAGTTTAAAAATCTTGAATATAAAATATTAAGATTTTACAGCATACTTTATACTTCTTTAAAAGCTACGCCTTCTACGAATCCATTTGTTGCTGCTACTGGTCCTTCTGCTGCATCGTCTACAAACCCATTTCAGACCAATGCCAGAGGAGCAACAGGTAAGAAGAAAAGACAGATCAAGGAATCATAACTGTGGGGAAAGGAGTTTATTATTTATTATTTATTTACTCATTTATTATAAGTCATACCTAACATGAGACCTCTTTCTACTGAAGCGTAGTGCAGGAAAGGGTAGGTGAGTGTGTTCAGAAACACAGATGCCAGCTGGGTGTGGTGCATATATCTTTCACCCCAGTACTTGGAAGGCTGAGGCAGGAGGATAGTATGAGGCCAGCCTGAGCCACATAGAAAGACCTTGCTGGGCAGTGGTGGTGCATGCCTTTAATCCTAGCACTTGGGAGGCAGAGGCAAGTGGAGTGCTGTGAGTTGGAGGCCAGCCTGGTCTACAGACTGAATTCCAGGACATCCAGAGTTACACAAAAAAATCCTTTCTTGGGAGAAAAAAAGAAAAGAAAAAGAAAGAAAGACCTTTTCTTTAAAAATTGACAAATGCTACTGAAAGTTTTTGACATTTAGGGGTTTAACAGTCACAAAGGACCTGAGAAGTTTATGTTTCCACCCTTCTGGCTGAAACTTTGGGTTTTCAGATTGGGATGCTCAAATATGGGCAGAAGAACTTGATTGACAATAGTAGTTCAGCTTGTTTGGTGCCAGAATGGCTATTAGGCATTCAGTATCAACAAAATGCTTTCATAAAAAGCCTTATGAGATTATATCGGATGAGTGAATTTTGTTATATTAACTCTAATTACATATCCCTAGTGTCTCTTTTCAGCTTCGTATTTTATGGGTTATTTTTGTTTGTTTGTTTGTTTTTTGTTTTTTATGAGAGCTGAGGATTATGCCTGGGTCCTCCTGCATCCTAGGCATGCATTCTACGAACTAAACTTTAATGTCTATTCATTTTGGAGTTCAGTACTTGAACATTTTGTCTTTCACTTTTTTTTTTCATTAATTCTGTTTATCTTCCCATCTTTTTTTTTGATACTTGATTCACACCCACGCCAGTCACGTCATTCTCGTTGCATTTCTTTGTTTTGACTTGCTGCCATCTCCTGGCATGGCACATCAGCAGGTGTAAGTGGTGTGACTAGACTCCATACACTTTGTTTCTGTGTGTTTCAGAGAATGTCAGAACCAAAGCTTCCACACCAATTACAGCAAGTGGTGATAGGAAGTTCTAAGGGTATACCATTATAACATACCTAATCAAACTCAGCAGTGAGAGGTAGAGGAAGATCAGGAGTTGGGGGCCAGTCTGGACTACTGCAGGGAGAACCTAGCTAAACAAAGCAAAAATTAAAAATTGTGATGCCAGAAGTCAGAATAATAAGTATTATTTTTTATTTACACAAACACATTAGTCATAATTTAAGTATTTGAAATTCCTATCAGATTTAATTTTTAAAAATGATTTGTTCAGAGCCTGGGACCCCTGCCCCCCCTTCCTTATTTTTTACTGCTTTTGAAAGTATTTTTAGAGGTAAGCTTCTATAGAGAATGTAGTGGTATATATAAGATCTACAGGTGATCTAGCAATATTTAATTTTGAAGTTTATCAGAAAGAAAATACTCTACAAATTTTTATTTCAAAATAATTTTTGTTTTGCTTTTGTTTTTGTGTCCCCCCCCCCTTTTTTTTGGAGATAAGTTATCTCTGTAGAGCCCTGACTGCCCTGTCCTAGAATTTGGTATGTAGACCAGGCCAGCCTTGAACTGAAAGAAATCTGCCTGTCTTTGCCTTCTAAATGCTGGGATTAAAGGTGTGTGCCACCATTCCTGGCTATTTCGAAGTAATTTTTGCATTATAAGGTGTTTTGATGTATCCCATTGGATATCTTTTTTAGGTTATTATGAAATTGATTAAGTTGAAACAGATGTTGAAGCTGCCGCACTGCGATGCTTTGACAGCTACACTGTGGTCCTTGGGAATTTCCAGGCCTTTGCAGAACTTGGACTCTTGGAGTGCTCTTTGTTTCTCTCAAATGTGTTAATAGCCCTGTGAAATGTTCTTTTGAGATAGCTTTGGAAGAACAGTGTGGGACAGTTCTATGCTCTTGAAGAATAACACATAAGTACCAACCTGGGCTGTCAGCTATTTCAGACTAAAGTATGGTGGTGCTTAGTACTGTTTAACTGTCACTGTTGACTGAGAATTTTAAAAATAGTTTTATTAGAGAGAAACTGGGGGCGGGGTAGGGAACTGTGAATGGCCTGTAGAACTTGTGTGGAGGTCAGAGAACAGCTTTTGGGATCAGTTCTTCCATTGTGGGATCTAGGGATTGAACTCAAGATTCAGGCTTATGCAGCAAGCCCTTTTATTTATCTGCTGAGCCATATTGCTGGCCTTGAGAAGTTTTCAAAGCAGTATTCAATGGGAAAGAGTTTTGTGCCTCAGTAAATGCATAGGGAAAGTGCTGAGAAAGCACAGTTTAGCAAGCATTACTGATGCAAGACTAGTGGAAGCTTTTAGATTTCTAAGAGAGTTAAATTGACCAAACTTTTTATCACAGAACTCTTCTTTGCCAACCTTTTTTTTTCAGCTCTAAAAATGTGTTTGTGTTCATGTACACATGCTCACATGGGTGTGTTCATAAAGCAAGAAGATGACACTAGGTGTCATCCTTAGGAATGTCATCTACCTCTTTAGAGACAGAGGCCTAGAGCTCACCAAATAGGCCACAGTTGCTGACCTAGAAGCATTAGGGATTCTTGTGTCTCTGCTTCCCCGGTCTGGGATTACAGGCCTGTGCTACCTCGTCTGATAATATCCACATGGATTTTAGCCAAAAGGCAGAGAGGTGATTCTATGGGTTCTGGGACTGAACTCAGGACTTTGTGCTTGTAGGAACTTTACCAGTTGTACCATCCCTCCAGCCCCCTTTGCAACATTTTGCTAAATTTAGAGCACAATATAAAATCTATTTAAATAGGCAAGAAAAATACTTTTTGCTTTCCACATAGTAGTATATGAACTCATTGTTGTACATCATTTTTATAGTAGCTTTGTGAAGTACATGGGTCCTGTTATCTCTGTCCTTCCATCATCCCCTTTGCAAATGAGGAAACTGAAGTTTGTATTAGTTAAAAATATCATAGAGGTAGAAAGCGGCAGAACCAAGATTCAGAGTTGTTTTCCTCTATCACCATGGGCCTTCGATTTTTGCTAATCTAAAAAGTATTCCAGTCTAAAATGCATAGAAATACATTTTAGAAATAACCCCAATCGAGACTGTTTAACAACAGCAGAACAGAGCTGTGGACTCCAGTAAGCTAAGTCTCTTCTGTTACCTGCATATATACATGAGGGAGGTGCTGTCCTCCTGCCCACCAGGTGAGTCATGCACAGGATGCCTTTCTCCATCTGTCAGTCAGGATGCTTTCAGTCAACTAAAGGGGCTCAATTCACTTTCTCCTCAGAATTCTTAGCTCATTTAAGTTATTTTTAGATATTTCTAGTTAATGTCTTGATTTGTGAAGAAAACATTCAGGTGCTCTGTTCAAGACTTGGAGTTTCAGTTGGTAAAGGAACATTTTTTTTGGACGTGTCTCATGATGCTTACTTTGTGTGTGTCTGTGCGTGCATGTGTGCGTGTGTGTGTTAAGATAAGGTTTCATGTAGCCCAGACTGGCCCTGAATTTACTTTGTAGCTGAGGCTGGCCTTTGTACTACTGATTTTCCTGCCTCCATCTCTAAACTTGTCAGGATTTCAAGTGTATGCCCCTATGCCTGGCTCTTACTGTACTGTTTTTATGGTTATAGTTCTATTTTCACATGATAAAACAAAGCTAAGATTACTTTTGTTTTGAGACAGACTCTCACTCTGTAGGCCTGGTTGGTTTGGAATTCATTATATAGGATACGGCTGGCCTCAAAGTCACAGAGTTAATCCCTCCTCCCAGGCTGGAATTAAAAGTATGAGCTGTTGTGCCCAGCTATGAAGGATTATTTTTAAAAATATATTTCAGTAGTTTTTCTTCACTTGGTATTTATTGTTCTAAACTGTTAAAAGTGACATACTATAATGTGAATGTAATTGAAACAAGAGGTCTCTTTTGTGGGTGAGTTTCTACTGTATATTCCTGTGACCCCCCCCCCAAGTGGGCAGTACTGCATTCTAACTCTAGAGCTCTTTAATGAAACCATATAACTTTTACTTTAACAGTAACTGTACATAACTTGATTGACCTTGGTCTCTTTATGGCTTCCCATAAGGCCTTTCTGGAGCAATGCATTCTCAAGTGTTTCCTCACGCTCATTTTGGTAGGTGGCCACAACTAGATATGTGTGGCAATTTGTCTAGCTGCTTGTGGAAGCTTTTGCTAGTGTTCTGGATCCTTGCATGTAGAGTTAAGTTATTTCCATGTTTTAATATGGAGTGGGCATGGATGTGTGGCATCAAGGTCACGTATTTAAAGTAACACGAAAATCCTATATAATGATTTATGTTTTAATACTGAAAAGCATTATTGCTTACCTCCATGGTCACAGTAGAATGTTAATAGCTATTTTGATTGCTTTTCTTATGTTTTAATCCATAGTACTGTAAGTGATACCTTTTGATGCACCAAATCATTTTCCTGCTTTATCTCATGGAGTTTGGTTTTGCCTAACTGTCCGAGCTTTGCTTTGAGTGCTTCCCGCAGTGACCTGTCAGCTGCATCAGCGCGTTGTGTCTGCAGTGACACCCTCCCGTCTCCTTGCAGTGTGCTCAGACTTTCTTTCTTTCTTTCATTCACTTGCTTCCCAATAGCCTGTTCTTCTTTTCTCCCCCCATCCTGTCAGTAAAGACGTAAAAACCAGAAACCTTCTGAATCTAACTAGGTTCCTTGAGCTAATTTGCATTGTCATAAACATTAGGATTGCTATAACACTTTTCAGTTTGTCTGTTTTTCGATAAGAACATTTTATGCAGTGCTTTTCATATTTAATTTCTTTGCCTTGAATCAGTACCAGTTTGGTAAAGTTTTTGAAATGAGGAAATTCAGTAAATAAGTTGATGTGCTTTGACAGTAGTATTTCACTGTATCCTTTAGCAGGAGTGCACAGTTAAAGCAACGTTATTGTCACTATTCACTCAGTCCTTCCTGATAACAAGCATACCATCGGATCATGGGAAGGTGCTGTTTTACGTATTTCCTACCAGTTACTCACACAGCATTCCACTACTGCACGTCTCTAAAGTGAGAGTTTGTTTATAAATGTGGTTGTTTATGTAAATAGGGCTTGATGCAGGCATATCACATAAACATTGGTGATTGCCACATAGAGTCCAGCTCATGCTTTACCCACCAAGCACAGCAAACCAAGGAGGAGCTAGTAACATGGACACAGGACCCATGGGCCTGGTAGTCATCTCTTGTAAAAATGCCCTTTGCGCTTCTTTTCCAATCTTTGTGCATTGATACCAACTTGTGCAGCTCAGTAACCCCAGACAGCCTCCATTCTCTTCCAGACTTGTGAAATGTGGGTGTAGAAGTGTGTGTGTGTGTGTGTGTGTGTGTGTGTGTGTGTGTGTGTGTGTTTTGTGTATGTATGTACATATATATATACACACACACTTATGTCTATATATATTGTGTGTATATATACATATAAAGTTGTATATATACACATATATATAATTAGTAGGAACTTACTATGTCCTTATAATTGCATTAATGTTTTAAATAGAATTTCTTTCTTTTGTCTTTGGCTGTAGTTATAAAACTGTAGTTTTGAATGCCCTGCCTTTCACCCTAGTTGCCTTATAAATCCTATTATTTTTAACTCTTTAAGAGGTCTTAAATTTTTTTCTACAGAAACATGAACCTTAGTAATTAAAGTTAGGTTTTTTAAGTTAGATATAGGAAAACTGCCTCAAACCCAGGATGTGTACTCACTCCTTCCTATACACCATCACAGTATGACTAGCTTCTGAAAGCAGGCTATTATTTGACTTTATGTAATTGCTTAGGGAAATTTGGGGGCGGGGGCGGAGTTTGAATGATAGCTTTAGTAGTTTCTTTCTAGTCACTGCATTTCAGAACAAAATTTCTTAGGTTCTATTATAGTTAGAGTAGACAGTGCTAATCTCTGCTGACTTTGTCAGGATTTGGGGCTTTCAGATGCCCTTAATGTGTGTCTTAGTGTTGTCAAGGTAGGTGCGGTGTATTCCACACCGTGAATTGCTGTGTGTGTCTCTGACCCCCATGTTTCTCTTGTCAGCGGCAACCTTCGGCACTGCGTCCATGAGTATGCCGGCAGGATTTGGAACTCCTGCCCCGTACAGTCTCCCCACCAGCTTTAGTGGCAGTTTCCAGCAGCCCGCCTTCCCGACCCAAGCAGCTTTTCCTCAGCAGACAGCTTTCTCTCAACAGCCCAATGGTAAGCTTGAACATCTGACCAGCTGCGTGATGTCAGTGCCCCTTACATAGTGTGATGTTAAGTGCTTGAGATGAAGACTGTCTTAGACTGCTGTAGTCTTGTGCACCGAGTGGGGACTCCGGAAGAGAGCCTTTGGCAGTTTGGGCTGTACATAAGAAGATTGTGGTTTTATACATTTCCTTGACCATGTGTTAGGAAACCTCAGTGACTGTCAAGCTCTTCTTAGAGTCACCCATGTCTTTATCTTTTAAGTCCATCTTGTGTTGTCATATGTTTCTTGGTTTGAAATGGAAATTATATTTTTGTGAAGAATGGTTGCTGGCGTGCCTTTTTGGTGTAGTGGTGTTTTAGACAAACCCTCTTAAGTAAGTGACAGTGATGTACTTACAGCTTGTTTTGGTGACTGGCTAGGAGATTGACTTAGCCCTTCTTCTTACCGGTTTCTTACTTGCTGAAGTTTGAAATCCATACTTTTCAAGAATGTTCTCAGTTCTCATACATTCAGTAGTTAGAAAATACAGTGCATCGAATAGTCATAAATGATGACATGTTTCATAAGAAATACTGTGGTGATGTGTAGAATCCACTGTATTGGCCATATGCTTCCCTCAAGTAGTCACACACTCATCTGTCAGTTAAGTCCTCAAAGGTCAGTGACCTACTCTGGGCTGAGTTAGATTGTTTCAGAGCTCGGAGGCTCTTAATAAATGCCTTAGGAAGTTTGTCTCTAGTGTCTGAAAAGACATGAGACCTAATGTTACATTTTATTTTGTCATCTGGTAAGAACGTTTATGAGACTTCTAAGGTTGGGATCATCTCTTGGTGGCAGTGTCGCTTGTAACTGGTGGCTCTCTCTCTTTTTAATAAGGTGCAGGTTTTGCAACATTTGGACAAACAAAACCAGTAGTGACCCCTTTTGGTCAAGTTGCAGCTGCTGGAGTGTCTAGTAATCCTTTTATGGTGAGTGAATTTCAGTTTTAGTGCCTTAGAAAATAAGTTACAGTTTATTAACCTGGGAAAACAGAATGTGACTATCCTTGCATACAACTTAGTGTTCTGTTAATATGATGCTATAGATTATGTATGGCCCTTACAATGCCTCTAAGAAGTTAGTTGCAAATCAAAGTGTGGATAATAGATTCACTATTTTATAATATGAAATACATGCACTCTTGCCAGAATTACACTTGAAGAAACCTTTGGATTTAGGGAAAAGGAGCCTTAAGAATGAGATTTTTGTTTGTTTTTTTGAAGGTACAAGTACTTCTTTTAAGTGCCAGGCTCCTTTTTAGACAGTATTAAAGCACTTGTGTAAACAAATACATGAAAGGACAGTATAGTCTGTAACAAGTAGGAGGTGGTTTACAGTTTGTTGACAGCAACAGAAATGAATAAAGGTTGGCAATAAAAAATTCTTAACAAAAGTTTGAAGTTTTTCAGTACAATTTAATGCTTTCGTCTCATACAAGCATCATTTCTGTTTATTTTGTCCTTGTGTTTTTTCCGATAGCCTGGTGCACCAACAGGACAATTTCCAACGGGAAGCTCATCAACCAATCCCTTCTTATAGCCTTACACAGACACTGTACTGGAACGAACTTTTATGTGATCATATTACATCTCTCCGCCTCTTGCACTGTTGTCTTGTTTCACTGATCTTAGCTTTAAACATGAGAGAAGTCTTTAAAAAGCCTGCATTGTGTATTAAACACCAGGTAATACGTGCGAAACAGAGGGCTCAGCAACAACTTTTCACTTGTGAATTGGCAGGAAAAGGTAGCGGCATCATGTACATTAAAAATTGGCTAATGTTAAGTTATTGCAGATCCCACATTCATTATGCTGCAGTACTGTACATATTTTTCTTAGAAATTAGCTATTTGTGCATATCAGTATTTGTAACTTTAACACATTGTTATGTGAGAAATGTTACTGGGGAATAGATCAGCCACTTTTAAGGTGCTGTCATATATCTTGGAATGAATGACTAAAATCATTTGAAGCATCACTTCTGGAAAGTTCAAAGTCAAAATCGGAAGGTTTTATTCATTCTTGAATTTTTCCTTCTAAAGAGCTCTTCTATTTATACACGGCTAAATTCTTTAAAGATGTGAAGGACACCTGTCTGCGGAATAAAGCTGATCATGTTTTGCTACAGTTTGCAGGTGAACAAAATAAATATTAGAAAATATGCTATTGTTTTTGTGTTCTTGCTGCAATGCCTTTACCAAAGTGGCCTTAAATAATGAGTAGTGAGTTGAGAACATCTTGAATTCTTAAAGACTTCTAGTGACTAACTTTTTTTAAAAGGCCATGTAGAAAATGTATTAAAACTACTAGGACGCTATATTCAGGACTGTGACAGTGGAAAAGCATTTACATGTAGCTTGTCAGATTCACCATGCTACTTCTAATTTCTCTGCAACTTATTAATTTTGTGAAGTTTGTAAATATGGAGAATTTGCATGTTTGTGTATTTACAAATATTTTTTAAAGATCTTAAATTCTCAGACTGCAAAAGGCCTATTTTAACTATTTTTTTTTCTGTTCTCCATTTTAATTGTCTTTGAATGTATTGGAAGCAGACATGCCTTGACTGTGACACGATTGCACCTGAGTTCATGCCCCCTTTCTCCCCCCATTTTCTGGACAGACTGATAACTATCAATAGAACATTTATTTGTGTTTGTTTTGGGGTAAAGAAACAGGAACCCAAATGTTACCTTAAAGTGATGAAATACTTTGTATAAAAAGGTAGCAATACTAAGTTTAGTTTTTCTTTTTGTTAATATTCAAATGAACTTGTTTAAATATTTATATGTAGTAATGCCTCATTCATCCCAAGGTAATCCGACACTCTCTTCAAAATGAAACACAACTAAGAGAACTGAAATGATTTAAAAAAAAAAAAAAAAGCTTCGAACAATGCCCCAAGTCATGATTCTGTATGTAGAGCATACATGTTTCTTTGAATGTGAGTTTAATAATTTGATAATTTGATTTATTGATCCATAGCATATTTGTGTTGATGAAAGGAAGGAGTCCAAAATGACAATGGAGAGCCTGCACTGGCAAAGGCCACAGGGACAGCCAGCCTGGTCTAGAGGACAGCAGTATTAGTACATTCGGTAATGACTCTGTGCCATCCAAAAAGCTAAAATTGCATACACAGTATGTAATGCCTGTATGAAAGTGATTTAAACAGTTTTTAAAGTTTGGTTTTAGGTGATGTAAGTAAGCATCAGCTTGCTCAAACATTTTATTCATGTTGGATGCATTTTGCAGTGATTGCTATTACCGTCATGCTTTAAAGTCTGGGTGTTTACTTGGGCTGCAGTCTGCTGTCCTCCTTCGTGGAAGGTGTGCTTTATAAAATGTACTTGACAAGTGACATGCCCGAGACTCAGCCCTTTCTGAGCAGCTTGCCACTGAGAATCCAGTTATTGCTGCTCAGGCTCAGCTACACCTTGGGCATAGTCTTGAATTCTTTGTACATTTTGGGGGCTTCATCTATTTTCATGGAAGAGAACTTAATGTCTTTAAACTTCTGTTTGAGATTGTATTAGATTCAAATCAATTCATATGTACAAAAGTTATACTATATAATTGTAGGCCATTACCCAAATAACCTACCAGGCTTTCCATCTATTAAGTAAATTAAACAGTTGTTATCAAAATAGTTTTAAAGACTATTTTTTCCAGTAGATCTTGAGATGTGTAATTAAATGGGGGGAACTTGTATTAATTTTCCATGAGTGCTCATAATCAAAATACAAGTACTTAGATTCAGAAGAGCTCCAGTGTTAAAGTGGGTTTTCTCATTTTTCTCTTAAAAATCCACTTTTTAGGCTTAAATTTGTTTTGCTCCTAATTTTAGTCATTGTGTCGAGCATTTGAAGCACAGTGGTCCGGGTGACAAGGCAGAGGATCTTCACACTCCCAGCATATTGCTTGAAACATGTTCCCTGTTGTGTCTTTGATCAGAAATTAATTTGTCTTTTAGGTTGGCAAAAACTGTGTTAAGTTTAAAAACATCTTATTCTCATTTTTATGACACAAGGCATGTTTTATTTGAGATTCTTTTGAAAATAGAGGATAGGTTGTCATTTCTTCCATAAGATAATTTGTTCTGTAAATAGAACACCCCTTATCTGGGAGGGGCTTTGGTGCTAGTAGTTCCTGTCAGTCGCAAAGTCGAGAGAGGAACTGGCTGCTGTCACTGGGCCAGCATTTCTGAAACATGTTTTCTGTTCATCGTTTTTATAACTGTTGAGGTCCCCCAAAGAGCTTTTGTTTGTGAAACTTGAGTTTTTCTAAGTTATATTGCAGATCAGTACAGAGGGATTTCCAAAACCTAACTTTTAAATATGGCTGTGGTAGTCCTATTGCTTGTTAACCTAGAGATTTAATATAAAATCACTTTTCCAAAATGGAAGGAAACATTCTTCCTGTTTCTCCCGCTTTTTTAATGTCAGGTTTAGTAGAAACTGTTTGCATTCTGAGTCGTCATCGTCACCCCGCAGAAAAGCACTGGGAACTGCACTGTGCGCGTGTGAAGTCCAGATGGCGAGAGAGGTGCACGCCGGCTTTAGAAGTAGTAAAAGGGCAGTTCGACCTGGTGCAGCCCTGTGCAGGCCCCCGGGTCACATTTTGAGAACACAGCACTTTACATTTGTGTGTTTCTGGTCTATGTACCTGTGGGGAACCTTGTTCCTTCTGAACCTTGATTGGGAAGAAGTGAAATTCCAGTTGAAATCATAAACTTCTTAACATTAGTGACTATTATTAAAGTACTCATGGTGATATTGTGAGTGTGGTGTTTTTACACCCTTTCATGTGTGAGGTACTCACTGAGTGGTTTTCTTCTATCAGCTCATGTAATGGAATCGTCAAGGCATAGAACAAACAGGTAAGCTCGTTACAGCCTTTATTCTTGGGAGAAGGTACTTGGATTAAATTGTACTCTAATATTTAGGTGTGATTAGATTCTCTTTATTTTGAAATTTTAAGTCACTTCCTGTATTTCTCAAAAATACTTAAATCATTTAACATGAATTTTTTGATATTCTGATGAACTATGTACCATTTACTCTGTAGAGTCTGAGTTTTTGTATTTCTGTTTTCTTCTTTTCTGACAGGGTCTTTATATAGCCCTGACTGTCCTGGAACTCACTATGTACACCAGGCTGGCTTTGAACTTACAGAGGTCCTCCCGCCTTGCCACCTCCCCCGCTTAGAATCTTACTAACCTTTAGAGTAGTGGGATAGCCTTGTCCCTCAAGTTGACAGTGACTCATTGTGTGGGGCACCTTACTGTTGTTCCAGTCTTAGATGGTCTTTAATAAAATAACTCAGAGCCAGATATCAGGGTGAAAACTGAAAGATCAGAGAAGCAGAGAAGCCAGCTACTAGTTCTTACCTCTACGACATCCTCAGCCTAAAGAGAATGAGTTTCATTTATGTAGTCTCTTCCCCTTAAAATTTTAAAATGTGCTTTTTAAAAGAAATTTTAAAATTGTATAAATTAGCTTATTGTATTGAATTTATTTCAAATCAGTTGAACTTTGTTGATTTTAGAAGCGATATCATTAATTTGCCTTTCATGTGTTGTATTTGAACAAGTGAAGGTATACTTATGTGTATCCAGTGTATACCCAGGACTGTGCTGGTGTTTCACAGCCATCTGAACAAAAGAACAGGAAGATGCTCTGTAGTAGCAGACTCATTTGACTAGCAGTCTGACATCATGAAATGCATGCATCTCCAGAGCCTGTTAGACCCTCCAGCACAGCAGTGATGTGGGAGTCCACAACTCATTGACTAGGTTTATCCGTCCTTTGATGACTGTATGCAGACTTCAAAAACCTTGAGTTTTATATTATTAGTGATTCATCTGCACACTAGTTTCCTCTTGAAAGGACACTATTGGAATTTGGAAATGTCCAAGTGCTGTGAAGGGTTTGGAGAAGACAATGGACTTCTCTGGTATAGGGCTGTCCAGGTGCTATGTTCCCTGCTGATGTGCAGCTGGGATAGTGCTTCTCAAGACTTGAGTTTGAGTCCCATGGGTGGAGCATGTACTTGTGAAGGGCTTCTGTCTCCCACCCTAGTGTTCTTGGTCATAATTTCCACTGCTTAGGGATAAGCTTTTGAATAGGTAGACCTTGAATAGGTAGAAAAGGTAGGTAGGGCTTTTCTCTGACACCTTTTCCTTTGACTTAGGACTTTATGTTGGCCTTTTCCAATGAAGACTTACTGCCAAGATGGTGCATCTAATACCCTATCCCTCCTGCATGTTTTATGCCTATGGTTTCATTGTTTTGAAATATGTACTTGTCCAGCACGTAGATCTTTGGGGGTTAATGAAAACAGAATGTTGTGATCCAGAATTTTGTAAAAAGAAAAAAAATTCTAGACAGAACATTTTATTTGCTGATAAATATGTTCATTTGATCAAACTTTTAAATTGGTTTGTTCTCCAAAATCTTGGTGACTTGTTATCTAAGTTTCAATCTTAACAAATACTCAAGGAGCCTTGTGATTATGACTATTGAGTCAGTGGCTTGAGGCAGCAAATGTTGTAAACTAATGTTACATAGTCAGTGTTCCTAGAGTGTGGTGAGTAGAGCCAGGTTTTTAAAGGCTTAGAGGCTTTTATATGTTCTAAATGACATGTGTAGGCTTTTTTACCGTTCTGCAGCGTCCACAGGTTATTTGGTAACCACAGAACATTTCCCTCTTTGACTTATTTTCATACCCCAGGGGAATACTGTTCCTGTATTCTTCATAGTTTTCAGGAATGCTGTCTTTTATTATGTCAGTCTGTGTATCTATACATGGTTCTTTGTTTTAACAATTCAAAATTTTGCAGTCTGTTCCTTTGTTTTAACTTGGACACCTTTCTATTTTACCACATGCAGCACTATCCCATCATATAAATGGCATCAGGACCCAGGAGTGGATGTCCCTTTGGAGGAACATGTTTTAAAATATATATGCTTTTATGAAAATTCTTGATTTTTGTCTGATAGGAAACTTTCAGTAAAACAGATCATTCTATTTTGAGACTCACCAGCTATTTACATTTGTTTTTGTATTTCCATCTGAGAGATTTTTCAGCTCTCTCAAATGGGATTTCTCAGCATTTAAATTCAGTTGTGAAGGCATTCAGTGTGTTTGCTGTGGAACCTCATGTCTTATTTTATACCTTACTCTTTCTGTCACCCCCACCTGTGACTCCTGCTGTTTCTAAAAGAATGGCCTGAAGACTTTGGTTTACAGTTTGTCAGTATTCTGCATCTCCTCATGCACCTTGGCCTGGAGAGTGACCCTGTGTTTATGAGAAGAAAGTGCAAGTCCACTGGTTGACACCAGACTTCACTCATTGTCTTCCAAGTTAAGCTAGCCTTTGCTTTGGAAAAGCTTGGGGAACAAGTCTACAAGTGGATCCTGATTTCTTACAGAAATTAATATGCATTTATAGAGTTATGCAAAGGACTTACTTCCTCCAAGAGTTTGTTTTAATGAAGAACACTTACTGAATAACCGAGTAAGAACAACTCATAACCGATTAACTAACTTACTCTGCACGTGAAGAGTGAAAATGCAGGGGGAGGCGGCGGCGAGCTCCAAGGACAGTGGGAAGGGGCTGTCTGGCTGTGGGCGGCTCTGTCTGGAAAATGCTCATAGGTGAAGGTTTTCAAAGCTCAGTCTTGGTGCAGGAATTGGTTTTAGGTATAAAACTTACTGATTTTGATAATTGTTTCTTCTCTTTTTTGGAGATGCTAAGAATTTGAACCCTTGGTCTTGCACATGCTAGGCAAATGCTCTACAGATAAGTCTAGCAAGTTTCTTGTTCATTGTGAAACATTGGGAAAAAAATTTTTTAAATAAAGACATGACTTTGTGTACCACTTGGGATGGCCTCTTCAATCGTGTCCTCATATAACACGGAGCCTGAAAGATTGGAAGAAGCGCCTCTGTGTGTCAGTCACAGCGGCTCTCCTGTCCCAAGCATGCAGTTAGAGGAGTAGAGATGCTGAGTTTCTTTGCTGCTGGAGAAGGAGCTCTCAGTGTCTGGTTGACACAGTCAGAGGCTCTCCTGTGTCTGCTTCCTACAGAAACGGTTTGTCTTTACTTAGTTTTACCACATCTGGATAGTGAATGTTTGTTCAGGTTATCTGGTATCTTAATTGTGTCTGTGTTGCTCTAAAAAACAAATGACAACAACAAAAACAACCCTACTTTTTATCCTGTTCTTGTAGCATGAATCTGAACAGGTCTTATTAAAAACAAACCTGAAGCCAGGTACTGGGGTGAAATGCTGGAAGATCAGAGAAGCAGAACAAGCCACAGCCACCTCGCCTCGCCAGTTCCTCAGCTGATCCTGTTTCCTCAGACTGGAAGTCTCTGAGTCCTCATCCAAATGAATCTCAGCCAAACTGCTACTCAAAAGCCTAAAAGCTTAAACAGCTCTAGTTCCTGGTCCTCATACCTTAAATACCTTTTTGCTTCCTGCCATCACTTCCTGGGATTAAAGGCTCTCGATACCATGCCTAGCTGTTTCCAGTGTGTCTTTGAACTCACAGAGATCGAGACGGATCTCTTCCTCTGGAATGCTAGGATTAAAGGCGTGTGTGCCACCATTTTCTGGCCTCTATGTCTAGTGGCTGTTCTCTT